TTCCTTTAAGAGATAAGCCCCACCCACTCCCTCCCTCATCTGCAGAGGCAAGTGGATCTTCCTTCATCTTCTAGCCTGCGAGTCCTTCCTTTCCATCTCTTTCCTGAAGAGGTAGCTTCTGCCTCTCTCCCTTCTCCCCACTTCTCTCCTTCCCCCTTCTGTTTCTCTCTCTCTCTGCTCTTCTCTCCTTTCCCCCCCCCCATAACCCACTAAACAAATACCCACTTTCTCTGCACAGCATGCCTAATAGGTCTCTGTCTCTCACCCGCCACGTGGTTCCCTGCCTGGGACCTGCTGCCTTCGTGGCCCTCCGAGGTCTCCTGGCCCACTGCTGACTGCTGCCACTTGGGGACCTGCGTTGTTTTTATTTTTACCTTAACAACTAGTGCTGTATCAAACACTGCATGTGTCTCTGTAATCTGCTGCCTTAGATTCCCTTGGGCCAATTCCTAGCAGTGATTCATTCACGAGTGACTGTCTCAGTGTCGCAGTGACAGAGCCCACTGGGGAACTTAGCACAGAGGCAGGCATGCAGGTTGTTTATGACAAATCTGTTCCAGCATCCCCCTAAGCCATTTTATTGCTTCCTCTGCGGCACACTGAGGAAGTTCTGTCACCTTCATATTACTACACAGGGGTCATCACATCTCTAGGCTCTAGCTGATAAGTAAATGGGCAATGCCTTCTCCTGCTGCCTGAGCCCAACTCCGAGTCCAGAATCTCTGGTCAGGGCACCTAGATCAATAAACGTGACTCTGTAGCCCAGATGTTATACTTGCCCTGTTCACACATGCCTGAAGCCTGTTGAGATTCCGGGGGTCACAGGAAGTAGGTCTCCAGGAGCTAAGCATCCTTGCTAGGCAACTGCCAACGGGGGCCTTACTGCAAGGTCCTCAGTAAAGACACACCAGGTAAGCTTCCCCAGTCAGGGAGGCTTCTTCTTCAGAGTCCACAGTCTCAGGCGCTCACCACTTCCGAAGCCATATCCTGACTTTGATGCAGGACATTGGCAAGGCTGCGGATTCAGCTTAGGTTATGATTATGCAGTCCACACGATTCAACCGTATCCTTCATTTTCAGCAGCTGGCCCTGCAGCTAAGAAATGCATTTCTTCCTTGCTATTTTCATAAATAATTTAGGTAATTATCGGAGCTTATTTCTAGTGAAGCTTGCTGGCTGTTGGACTGCAACCCATCTTTGAGGGCTGCCTTTCGGGACCACTTCCAGTACCGGTTAATGTCCTTATATCAGATCATAGACAAAATGTAATGGAAGGTAAGTTGAAGGAGGCCTGTGCAGGGAGCAGCTGCCACCCTCACGGCTAGAACAAAGAGAGATTGGAATAACTTCAGTTTAGAATCCCAAAGAAGGAGACCCGTGGTGCTGAGCCCCACACCTCTGCAGGGTCCTGCTGCTCAGCTGATAGGAGTGTCCCTGACCTTACAGAAGGGACGCTGTGAGGCTGGGGTAGTCTGCTCTGACCGAGGCTGATCTCCAGCCAGCCTCCCGTCAGTACAGGGCCTCACCCGTCACTCTGTGCCACGCCCTGGTTCTGCTCCATGTAGGTACTGTACAGAGTCACCCAAAGGTCTAAGAATTCTGGGGTTCCCTCTCCGCCTCCCTCGTTCATGTCCCTGCTCTCCTAAAGCCCTGTTGCCCCAACTCTAAACTCTAACCTCTTCCTCTTCTGCCCAGGCAGACCTCTCCGGTACCGCTCTGCACTGTGGCCTCAAACAGATGCCCAGAGAGAAAACTGTGCCTCCTTGCCCTAATGCAGCCCTGGCCAGGGCCTATCTCGGTGCTTTATCCAAAGCTCCAGCCAGAAGAAGCATCCCCTGCGGTTCTTTTGTCAGCTGCTCAGCCTCTGAATGCCCGTCTTTGCCGAGGTCTGCATCTTGTTCCGCTCAGCTCACTGCGTACATCATCGAAACCAATCATGTTTCTTGGAAACCCCCACGCATCATTCATGAAACTTCACTCAGGAAACGGCCCCTTCCCCTGCTGTGGAGTGGTCCACTAGGGGTCTGAGAACACAGAGAGGCCTTCCAGGACCGACCCGGTGTTAGGCTATTGATGAAAGGCCTCCCTTGCTTGAGCTCCGCTGGGACAGGGACACCCGTCATTCATCTCTGGGCCTAAGGGATGAATGAACACATGTGCATGCATCCGCTTTGGGCCATTAATTGGCCTCCCCTTGTGTTCGTGTCCAGGCCCTGTGTGTAGCACAAAGTCACACTCATTCTTGCTGTTTAATCACTATCCAGGTGCCTGGGACCTCGCCAGCTGTCCCAGTTCCCTTCCCTATCTGGAGAGTTCACCCCCATCATTTCCCATCATCCTATGGGGTCCCCGTCTGTAGCTGATGCTGAGAAACATAACTAACTGTGCTGGACTGTGGACGTGGGGCAATTTTAAAAAGAGACGGAGCTGATCATCTTCAAAGCCTGGTATGCCGTGTCCGTCTCCCCCCCCCCCCCCCCCCTCAGACTCACTCACACTTTGATGCCTCAGGTTCAGGGCTGGAAAATGAATCCTTAGCTTTAATTCTCGGGGCCATTATGCATACATAATGCCTTCCCTACCATTTAAAAGGAATGTAGATAGTATGTAAATGCGCCTCTGTGGGATTGTATATTCCACCCTGCATTAAGCACACATGAATTTCATAGTGACATCATTCAGCACCCGCTCCCTCGGCGTCTGCATAAAAAGCAGACAAATTCTGTTCTTTATACGCTTGCCACAGCTGGGGCTTCCTGGTCTGAGTCAGGGTTTGGACTTTGGGAATGATGGTTCTGTTTGAAGGACGTTCAGACCACCCTTTCCGACCTCTGAAGCTTGGATTCCTTCCACGATGCTCACCAAGATTCACCCTTGAGCTCTTTCACTGACAGGGCGGGCACCTGCTCTTTCCTGGAGCAGTGATGAGCCCTTAGGAAGTACGGAGTTACCAGAAGGTTGTCCCTGAAAGGCAGCCAACAGTTTATCGCTCTTGTCTCCAGACCCTGCTGTGTGGCATGAACACTGTGTTTTCTTCACAGCATTAAATACACACACACTCTCCCCCCCTCCCCCGCTCTCCTTTTCTCTCAGCAGGACCCACATTCACATGCACATACGACATCACACAGATGTGCATTTTATAATGGCCAGCTCACCAAGCAATACATCATAAACATCTTTGCATTTCCGTGAGCCTACATCTTGCTCATTTTCAGCGTCTACCTCGTCCTCTATTGTCAGATGGGCCACACTTTGCTTAATCATTGCCTGCCTGTGGGCAATGAGATTGTTTCCAATTTTGTGATGCGGTGGCCGACTCTGGGATGAGGTCTTCAAAGGGAGTGATTATTTTCTTAGGTAGTGTCACAGATGGGATTAGGGGGTCAAGAGGTGTGAACAGGTTAAAAGGCCATTCCAGGTAAAGCTGGCAGTCTTTGGGTTGAATGGAATCTTAGTGCTGAGAGCTTTCCCAGCATTCTCCTCTTTACTCCTCGCTGTCTTTCCCTCCCTTCCTTCCCCAAGGCACCTGGTCAGCTCTGTTCTATGTGCCTGACCATATGGTTCTTCTCTGCTCACCACATAAAGCAGCCTCCACAGGGGCTTCTTTCCAGGATATGGACTCCCCCTCCTCACCCCCAGAAAACTGCAAACTGGGCAGGAACTGGACTAAGAAAGGCAAACGGGTGCAGCTCTTGAGATCTGCAGCAGCTGGTCCCGGGTACCAAGAGGCTCTCTCCTTCTCTAGAAGTAAGCCAACAGTACACAAGAGAGCAAACTCAGAGTAGTAGGTGACGGCTCCTGGGCAGACTGGTTGGTAAATTCTTCTGTCCCCTGCCCACACATCAGCATCCAGCAACGGGGCCCCTTTTGCCAGCGATGAGGTGCTTAGAGTCTGCGTGGGAGCCTGTGTGAATAGCCCACATTATGTCTTTCAACATACTTTACCAGCTAGGCCATAGGTGCACTGACCCTTGCATAGGGACCCCACTGCAACATTCTTAGAAGGACAGAATACAAATTATTACATATTGTGCATTGTATATCTAAATACTATGCAAAGTGTAACACTCACGATTGGTCCACACAAACTCCGAAATACATCATTGTATCGAGTCAACGCAAGGCCCCTGTCAACCTGGATGTAACACTAAGAAACACCCATGAGAGCACACAGCTTTTTCTCCTGTGCTTCCACTGATTGGACGAGAGACTGAATCTCAGAGATGACAAAAGGTGAGAAACATGATAGCCGGGCGGTGGTGGCGCACGCCTTTAATCCCAGCACTTGGGAAGCAGAGGCAGGCAGATCTCTGTGAGTTCGAGACCAGCCTGGTCTACAAGAGCTAGTTCCAGGACAGGCTCCAAAAAACCACAGAAAAACCCTGTCTCGAAAAACAAAACAAAACAAACAAACAAACAAAAAAAGGTGAGAAACGTGGAATTCTGTAGGCAAAAAAACAAAACAAAACGCAACAGTCTGTGCGTACATCAGTCTGCCCTTCCGTGTCGGTGGGTGTTTTACAAGAGGGGAGTGGGTTATGTGCTCACCCACGCTTGTACAGGCAGAAACAATTCCTGAAAAACATACCCAAGAACCTGATAGCCAGAGCAGCCTATGGCAGCAGGGCTGAGGAACTGAGATTCGAGCCGTGAAGGAAATCTACCCATCCATTTATAAAATCTGACATCTTAAACTAGAGAGTCCCGTTACCAAACAAAACTGGAAAGAGGACAACATAAAGTGGCGTCCTGGTGGGAGGATCGAGAGTCCTAACATTTAGGGCTGGCGGACAAGTCATTGTTTGAACTGGGTTGGGTCTCCCACTGAGTTCAATCGGAGGTGGCAGAGCTGTTCTGGAGACTTCTGGGCCGCGCGGAGCTGGTCCCGGGCCGAGGGGCGCCCCGCGGTGCAGGCCGGGCCAATCAGCAGGCACGGGGCGGGCGCGGTGGCTTTGCGCGCACCTAGCGCTAAGCGGAACAGAGGCGCTGCTGCCGTCCGTTCGGGCGCCGGCCATGAGGCGTCTGCCGCTGCTGCTCCTGCTGCTGCCGTCACTGACCCGGAGCCTCGGGCTCCGCGACACGGGCAGACGACACCCCGAGTGCGGCCTGTGCCGGCTGGATCGCTGCCCCGAGCCCTCGCCCTGCCCAGCGCCCTGGATCGCCGCGCGAGACGAGTGCGGCTGCTGTGCGCGCTGCCTGGGCTCCGAGGGCGCGAGCTGTGGGGGACGGGTGGGCGCACGCTGTGGTCCCGGCCTGGTATGTGCGAGTCGCGCCACGGAGACGGCGCCCGAGGGCACGGGACTCTGCGTGTGCGCGCAGCGCGGCACGGTGTGTGGCTCCGACGGCCGCTCCTACTCCAGCATCTGCGCGCTACGACTGCGCGCCCGGCACGCACCCCGCGTGCACCCTGGCCACCTGCACAAGGCACGCGATGGCCCCTGCGAGTTCGGTGAGTGGGGTTTGACCCCAAAAGACTCAGGCAAATGGGAAAAGCGGGATCCCAATGCTCTAAGGTGTAGGACAAAGAATTTTTTTACATAGAAGTGGACACCACCTGGGCCCCACTCTCCCCTCCAGGAGCAGTATTTCGCATCTTACTTTCATGTTGGGGAAGAATGGGGCGAAATCTAACACCCTGCCTGCTGCCTTCCACACTTCATGGAGATTCCAGCCCTAGAGCAAGCAGGAGGGTGGATGCTTAAGAACCTGCTATCGCAATTATTTGAAAATGGGATTGGAGTGGGTCCTGGGTCAAGTGGGTTGCTTGAATAGAGAGGAAGGGAAGGTGAACGGTCCCGGACAGCAGGAGTTCCACATGGGATTGAAGAGTCATCAAGACAGAGACCAGGATACTGGGCATCCAGTGAGACCCAGATTAACCAAGGCCCTGGGAGCTTCTGTCAGATGAGTCCTTCGGAAACTTGAGCTCTGAGAAGATAATGGGACCGCAGCGTCTGCCCCAGTCTAGAGTGCAAGTGATGTGAAGTGTCTTGTTTTAAGACACTTAAATGAACAGAAAGCTCTGGGTTGCCAGGGACTTCAAAGCTCAGCATCACACTGCACACCTCCCTGGTGCCCTAACTGATTACTGTCTTGGGTAATTTAAAAAAAAAAAATCAGTGTCCGTGTCCAGGAAAAACTAGCCTGTTTTGCCAGGAGTTTTCAGAGTGTGTCTGACCGATAAGTGTGGTAAGTGTGATGGTTGGCTGGTCCCCAGGATGCTATCATGAAGGCTGTACTTCTTCGGGCTTCTCGAGTTTTCTGGCCTGAGCTAGGAGAAAAGTCTAAACCAAATGCCAAAGTTAGTGCTTTAAGAAAAACACCTGGTGCCCTTTCTCCAGGCCTTAAACAGTGCTTGGTATTGCGTTACTCTCTTCTCCCTCCAAACACTCCATGGAAATGTGCTCAGATCCAGTATTCTGGTGAACTGATGGAGACAGGGCAGGAAGTCCACCATCCGGGGAAACATGACATGTGCTATTCGGTGAGGGCTGCAGCAGGCTGGGTTACACAGAAAAGTCACCATGCCTCTTCCCTAGTCCTTCCTCCATTGGGGGACAGTGCTGACTGGGGGGTGGAGGTACTCCTGGATAGTTCCTGGCTCCCCTAGTGACATTGAGCCTGGTTCATTTCCCTGTCCAGTCACAAGGGCCCCAGGGGAGGCATTGTTATTCCCTCTCTGTTTGGAATGCTTGTACCTGCCCTAGACACCAACACAGTCCCGTCTTCCCTTCCTGGAGTTCTGTCACCGGCTGCAATCTGCCACCTCAGCAGTTGGCTCCCAGGCAGTTCCCTTTGTCTGAGACAGGTAACACTAATGGTACACACAGGACACAGAAAAAATGCTGACCAGGCCCCCCTGCCCAGAGCTTCCCAGTGGTGATGGGCTTGGGTAATTTTTCCCTGGAGGGGCATTCTGTTCTTAGGAGAAAGACCCCTTCAAGGCACATAGTGCAAAGCCGCCTTTACGCAGAGGAGACCCAGAGACCCAAGACGCAGGGAACTAGTCCAAGATGTCCACGAAAGGCTGCCACCTCCCAGGTCCCAACCCCTTGTCCAGCACTCTTTCAGGAGTGGACTTGATAATATTAAGTCAGGCAGATGGTGGTTGCTATGGATACCGGAGTACAGACAGATGGCAGATGGAAAACCCACACCCCTAATTCACTGAAAATTACCAAATGACAAGTAAATGTGCCAGCCCCTCAGCTCTGATCTATGGGCTCCGAGGCCCGCCCTGGGCTCCAGCCTGGAGAATAAAGAGGTCCTCGGAGCCAAAGGGAGCAATTCAGAAGCCAATTTCCAGCACCTCATTAGTGGCAGACTTTGGCACTCCTGGGCTCAGCTGTCCTTTCCACCAGGGTTTGTGTCACCCACGAGATTGACGGACCTGATGGTTGTCTACCTGTCACCTCTGTCTCCACAAGCTCTCAGGGAGGCCTGGGTTCCTGTACAGGGGAGCTGTTTCCTTACTCCCGGCTACACCTCATTCTGGCCTGCCCTCAAGCCATCTTTAATTCAAGAGACACAGCAGGAGCACTTTTAACAAAGCCCCAGGGGACCCCGTTTGAAAGGAAACAGACAGTTTTACTTCAGTATTGGTGACAGTCACTCCTGCTCAGCTCCTCCCAGACGCCGTCAGCACCCAGGTACTTCCACTTTAATGGAGTGAGGGTTCATACATATTGATGAGCCCCTTCCCAGTGGAGACCAGTGATGCCTCCGCTGGACTGTGGTGGCAAACGGTATTTGGGTCTAGATGCTGCCCTTCCCAGAAGCCTTTGCTCAAAACTGCCCACTGCCTAATATTGAGAGCATCCTTTGAGCCCTGTACATTGAAGACCTATGTGTGACTGTTTTATTGTTAGACATTGTTTTTGCATGCATTGCTGTCCTTGATTTTTGCAGTCACTGGAGAGAGCAGGGAGGTCTTAACCTAATCCCTTAACGCAGTGATCCTCAACTTTCCTAATGCTGTGACCTTTTAATACAGTTCCTCAAGTTGTGGTGACTCCCCAACCATAAAATTATTTTCATTGCTACTTCATGGCTGTAATTTTGCTACTGTTATGAATCATAATGTAAATATCTGTGTTGTCCGATGGTCTTAGGTGACCCCTATGAAAGGGTTATTTGACCTCCAACAGGTCTCGACAGACAGGTTGAGAACCACTGCCTTAATAAAAGGGAACATGGAGACGCACCAAAAGGCATTTCTGAGTCAGGGCCCCAGGTCTGTCTGCCTGGCTCTTGGCAGACTGCAGCCCTCCATCTCCAGCCTGTGGGGCTCTGGGCCCCAGCAGCTTCTCCGAGAGAGCTTGAGCCCCAGAATCTCAGAAAATTCACCTTGGTTGGAATTCCTCCTCCATTTACAAGCCCAGGGTACGTGTTACCAGGTAACCAGAGGAGGCGGTGAATGCCACTTTGTGAGAGGGACAAAGGAAGGGGCCTCGTGTTCCAAAGCCTTTCATGAATGCCGAGGGAGGGGATTTGAATCACAGGCTGCAGGCAGTGGGATTAAGCAGGGGCTCCTTCCACATCCAGCCGTGATTATAGGCATAAATTATCAAGCCTGTTTGGCACGTTGATCATTAAATTTTTTGCTTGTGTGTCTCTTAATACGAGCAGATAGGGTCCTGGGGGACGACTCGGGCTATTCTTGCTTTCCATGACACCATTAACTTGAATCTCTGCGGCATGTAGGATGATCTTTCATTTCAGCCACCAAGGACTCATCTAATGGAAGGGGTAGGGCGGCAGATCACCACATGTAGTAATAACAAGGCAGGTCCTTTCATCTGGGCAGACCCACACCGCAGACACAGATGCTGTCATTAGGTTCCCGCATGCCAGGGTGTGGGGCAGTGTTGTCCTCTTCCCGAGCAGACAAGGGTTCGCAACCCGCCTCTCGCTTGGACTCCCAGGTCGCTGAGTCTCTCTGGCACTGTTTTGCCTATCAGAGGTCCTACCTCCTCCGACCACACACAACTGAGCGGCTGTACCTGCTGTAGCCCTGGGATGGATGGAGCTGTGCCACCCTGGATTTCCTGACCACTGCGAGCATGAGAAGGAAGCAAGTACTGAGCCGGGAAGAGTTAGAGAGATGGAACTTACCCTCTTAGAAGCCTGGACTGGCCTGGAGCCACTGGCCTCCCTGAAGAGCCACTTTATTCCAGTCAAAGGTAGACAGGAAGGAAAACGCTGCTCCTTCCGGGATAATGGCAACACTCACATCCCGGAGGTGAGAAGTTATGTCCTGGGCTCTTTGAAGATCGCTGCTGTCCAGCTCCAGCCTGCAGGGTGTTGAATTATTGCAGTTTCCCTGAGCTCTGAAGACCCTCAGGGTTGAGGGTCATAGCCTGTGGTACCACCAGATAGGACCTGTCACCAGAGGTCAGTAGAGGGCTGCAAGCAAAAAGAAAGGTCTGTTCTGGGTAGCATGGGCTACTGTGTCTCTGGGTCCCTCCTTATGACACCGTGTGTAAGGTTGCACTGGGCCCTCAAGTGTTCCTCAACTCGGCCTGTGGAGGGCAGGCAGCAGGTATGTCGTGGCTTAAATATGAAGTTTTCCTGGAAGATTTGTGTATTAAAGCTTTAGTCCCCAGCTGCGGCACTCCTGGGAGTGATGGAGTCTTCGGGAGGCGGGCCTAACTAGAGGAAGTAACTGGGCATCCATGCTTTAGGGGAAATCTTGTCCCAAGAACCATCTCTCTCCCTTCCTCTGCTTCCTGGCGGCCATTCGATGGACAGCTTTCTTCCATTCTACCCTTCCACCATAATGTCTCTGTCTTGCCACAGACCTAATGGGAAGAGTGCCAGGCAGCCACAGCCTGACTCAGGTTCCAAGGAGGATGGGCACCTGTGTCTGTTCCGCAGCAGCCCCACCTGAGACTGAATACTCAGCATAGGCAGAACTTTAAGTGGGTTTCCTTCACTCCTGCCCACCATACCGTCCTTTCTGCCTCTGGGAGTCACTGGCACCTGCTATCACACTTGAGTAGTGTATGGACCAGAGTTGCCCTGCTAGTGTTATGGGCGGTCCCTCGTGGGCATTGCTGGGAGGTGATGTGTGGATAATTGAGACCAAATCATGCCTGAGACTGGCACTTCATGACAGCTGGCAAGGCTGGCCAGTGACTGGCCCTGGAAAACCTGGACCTAAGGAAAGCTAACCATTCCTGGAACTCTCGAGGAGAGTGGCTTACTGCCTAAATGACAGAGTGTGGTCCATGCTGACATTTCACCACCATGAATACCACCAGTGACCATGACAGAATGGCTCTGTCTTGACTCCTGGTCCTGGGGTTCCAGTCCAGAATCCACAGCCCCATTTCTCTCTTAGCCGCTGGCGAGAACAGCACAACACAGCAGGAGTGTGTGGTGGAGCGCACTGCTCCCCTCCCAAGCCAGGAAGCAGAAGAGAGAAGGCGCCAGAACCCTACAGTCCCTTCTGAGATCGTACTTAGGGTGATCTAAAGACCTCTTGCTGGGCTTCACTTCTTGAATGGGCAGCCCCACAACCACCATCACCACCTGATCACACCAACACCTCCGCAACCCACCACCATCCACAGTCACCTCCACACACACCCCACCACCACCACCACCGTAACACTAAGATCTCAGCTTCCAACACATGAGTTTTAGAGGTCACTTATCCACCCATCTGGGGACCTGAGACTTTGGTTCATCATTCAATACCTGTGTGATCAGTCTTCACGAAAGCACTGGTAGCCAGCCCTTCATGAGCTTCCCAATTACACAGAGCACTTCACAGTAGTGCCTCAACCCATGGCTGTGCCCTGTATAGCTGGTGCCTGGATTCTCTCTGGTGAGTTGGCTCTGTATCCTGGCCTTGTCACAGCTTGTGACTTTCCGACTCTACCCTGTAAGCTGTGAGGCCTCCCAGCAAAACACTGCCTGGGACCCCTTGACACGATCTCTTAAGAGCTGCCCTCCTCTTCTAGGATGGAGCCCACCAAGATAACAGTTGTCTCAGTATCAAAGCTAGTATGGAACTGTATGGAATTTGAGCCCCTGTTCCTCCAGGCTCTTCGCCTTTGTAAGCCTGAGCTCCCGGCTGTGAAATGGGAGGTAAAACACCAACCTTCCGGGGCTTATGTGAGGATGCAGTAGAGTCCTCTGGGGGGAAAGGCAAGAAGTTGTCAGCTCTGAGGTGGGGCTTGATCTCCACAACCAAAAAGAGGAATCACACCCCCCACCAAGGAGGTTGGGCTAGCCCTGTGCAGCTCCCCCTTCTGGCATCCGATAGGACTGCGGGATAGGAAGGCGTGAACAGCTGTACTATTACCACAAGTGTTATTGATTGTGCAGAGCTGTTACGGCTAAGAACGCAAATTTAATGCCAGATACATCCAAATTAAAAGAAGATGACTGACAGCAGGGGCCTGAGGAAATCTTACAAGGCCACAGAATTGCTCTGCTTCCAATGGTGACTTCCCAGCCCTCTGCATCAGTCCGACGGGGATCTGCGCACCAGAATGAGTAGTGTGCGGCATGCGAATTTATAGATAAATAAACGCATCGGGAAAGGTCACTTTAACACTGAAAGCGGGTGTGTGTGGGGGGGGGGAGGGAGCGGCTCTTTTGTAAAAGAAATGGTGTTTCCTGCCGTGAAAGCGGTGGCAAAGGCAGCTTTCCCTAGACAGTGCTTCTTAATTGTAGTTATTGAAAGAGAGGGAAGGGGGACTCTCGAGGAGCGCGCAGGAAATGTGATTTACTGGTTTATTCATTTAGGCCTGAAAGGGAGTGATGAAGTCTCATTTAAAATGTATGACTTGACTTGAAGGGAAGTGAGACGCGTTGACGGAGCGTCCCTCTGGAACCTATTGAAGGCCCTGGAATCAGGCGGTGTGGCTGTCCCACGGCCCTTTGGGGACAGGCTTGTGGTTGGAAGCGCCTGTGTGGCTGTGAGGAGGTGCTGGCAGGGAGATGTGAATAAATTAGCCCCTCTTTGTTGTGGCAGATGGGGCTTCTGCCAGGCAGCCCCTGTGGCCGTAGGGCACACTGGAAGTTTGGGGCCTCTCTTCACTGGAGCTCTGGCTGCAATCTTGGCTGTAGGTTTAGACATGGCCTTGGAGAGCAGTCGTGCGGGCAGAGCTGAAAGCGTGGCTGATTGCAAGGGTAGGTGGCCTGGCGTGGGCCACTGTGCCAAGGACTCCAGCGCTGGCATCATCGGTGGTGAGGACAGAGGAAGGAAGCATCTCCTATGAGGGTGAACTTGATCAGAGAACTCTCCGAGGCCTGGCTCTGTAGGCAGTGAGCTCTCCATCCCTAGGGGTGTGCAGATACTCAGGCGCTGGCTTGACAAGGTCTGCCCTCACTGTGTCTGGAGGGGCTATACCAGTCTCCTTTCCTTGTTGGCTTGGTAGTTAAGAGCACTGGCTGGTCTGCCAGAGGACCTCGGTTTGATCCCTAGCACCCACAGGGCAGCCCACGCCATCTGTCCTTTCTTTGGCCTTCCACCCCTGCACCCTTCACTGTGACCAACTTTGTCCCTCTCCCTTTGTTCTCTTATCTAATTGTAGCCACATCCCAGTGGGCACAGGCCCTGCCATTCCGTTTGGTTCGCTGACTCCAGAACGGTGGCATTCCTCTTTCGTGTGCCGTGTTTTCTTCATCTAGTGATCTTTCTGCCACCTCTGTCCCTGGCTCTCGCTTGCATGTCAGGCCACGGCAGTAATTGCTCTCTCCTTCCATGGCTGGTTCACGCCACAGCCCAGGCAAGCAAGGGTCTCCTCAAGTCACTAGAGAAGAGGCAAGAGCTGACAGCCTTCCCATGGCCAGGCCTTGGCCTTGCCAGACTTCATGGCTGGGCTTGCTGTCCGACACGGGTGTGACTAGGTAGAGAGTCCTGGACCCCCGAGGCCAGCTGGGATGCAGCTGGTCAAATATGAACAGAACCCTTGTTTAGGACTTGACTGTGTGGTGAGGCCTGCAGGTAGGAAACCCCCCTGTTGGGGAAGAATAGGGACAATAAGGCCTGAGCACAGAGAAGGTCAGAGCATCAAGGTATCTCAGGATAAGACTTGACGCCAGCCGAAGAGATCCCTGGTATGTTTAAGAAGCTAGGTGTGAAGGGTGAACTAAGGGTCTAACCTGTGTTGCAGGCTCTCAGGTCCTCTTAAAGAAACAAAACCCAAGTCTCTCTTCTCTGAGCTGCCCCCCCCCCTGCCCCAACACAGAGGCAGAAGAGCTTCTCTGCCCTTAGTGACTTGACACCACCCCTAACCCTCAGGGTTCTTAAGCCTTCCCTTGTAAGACCTGAGAAATCCCTATGTGACCCTGAGTGCAGAGTATATAAAGTAAGCAAGCAGAAAAGCATCAAATATTTATGGATAATAAATCATCAAGAAATATACTTTAAAACAGTTCTTTAGTGTATGCGTAATTTTTACCAAATCATTGAAGCTAAGAGCAATGTTGTTCCCTAATGATGGATGTGTTTGTTTATCTTCACGTAAAGAATTAAATCTTAAGCCAGGCGTTGGTGGCGCACGCCTTTAATCCCAGCACTCGGGAGGCAGAGGCAGGCGGATCTCTGTGAGTTCGAGACCAACCAGGTTTACGGAGCTAGTTCCAGGACAGGCTCCAAAGCCACAGAGAAACCCTGTCTCGAAAAACCATAATAAATAAATAAATAAATAAATAATTAAATCTTAGGAGCTGGTGAGATAGCTCGGTGTTAAGAGCTACATAGCCGGTATTAAATAAGCAGATGGTAGCTGAGGTGTTGGGGGAACTCAGGGAGAGGGCATGTTGAGACCCAAACTCTACCACTGACCACCGGACATCTGGACCTTGCTTCCCCCCTTTAGACCGGCTTACAGATCCTAGGCCTAGGGGTTCACTCCCTCCTCGAAGGGCTTCCTGTGGGCCCTCAGAGCCCAGGGTTGGGCTCCTGACCTGCCAGGGTAAAGCATTGTTCCTTTGTCTTCTCGCAGCTCCTGTGGTCCTCATGCCACCTCGAGATGTTCACAATGTCACTGGGGCTCAAGTGTTCCTTTCCTGTGAGGTGAAGGCTGTGCCCACCCCCGTCATCACCTGGAAGAAGGTAATTTTCTCCAAGCATGTCTACACTTGTCTGTGTGCTTGTACCCATGTGTTGTGTTACGTGGGAGAGAAGAAGACCAGAGACAGAAGGAGCCGTGGGTGGTAACGGTTTTTCCTTAGGTGTGTTTATATGTGGGCCGAAGGATTAACAAAGACACTCCAGCCCTGTGCCACCAAGCTGCCACCCTAGAGCTCTCTCCAAAGGAGGGGGTGGCATTCCTTCCCGTGCCGTTTGTTCATTTGGTCGCTTTGGTGCCTAGAAAGCTCTGCTAGCTGGCGAACTCTCAGCTGCTGGGTCCTTAGACAACAGATTGGTAACAGAGACCCAATCCCGTCCTGAACGCTGATGGTTGATTCTGAGAAATTGGCAAAAGTCACAACTTTAGTTGGTCCCTTCCCCCAACAGCCCCGATGAGAGCTGTGAAATTCACAGCTATTCCCACCCTCCTCCACCCTTTGGAAAAGTTGGCAACCTCAATGTCCAGCAGGCAGTGCTGTCCGAAGAGACACTTTTAATCAAGGAAGCCTGAGTTGTTTGCCTAAGAATGACAGGCATTTTGATTTCTGCAATAGAGTCCAGGGAGGTTGCAGGTGGGGTTAGCCTGGCTCAGAATTATTTTCTAAACTGTATATGCTTTCTCTGCCTCATATAGGTTGTGGGATCTCCTGAGGGCACTGAGGAGTTGGAGGAGTTGCCGGGAGACCATGTCAATATAGCTGTCCAGGTGCGTGGGGGCCCTTCTGACCATGAGACCACATCCTGGATTTTGGTGAGTATTTTGGATTATTGGATATTGTTCGGGTGGATGTTCCATCCCAAGCCCCCTCCCCTGGGAGTCGCCTTAGTCTAGACTCCTTCTCCAAGAAAGCCAGCCAAACAATGACCCCTCCCCAGAGATGCTCAAGACCACGCCCACAGGGTATTTAAATTGCCCCACCTGTCCCCGCCCCCAGAGAACAAACGTGATTTTCTGGTTTTCCTTCCCCAGCTCTTCTCTGCGGGGCTCAAAAACCATCTGGGAGCGTTTGTATCCATTAAACCTGGGCCTTCTCTAATTCGGTTTGATTTGGTCTGATTCGAATTATTGCGTCGGCAGAGAAGTTTATCAGGGTGCAGAAACTCTTCAGATATTATCAGCAAACGGCCCTCTGTCTTCCCATGACACGCTACACTTTTAAAACTGTTCCCTACTCTTTCCTTTTGGCTTTGCTGGGGATTGAACCCAGGACCTCACTTCAAATTCTTATTTTGAAGGCTGATGAGATGGCTTGGGGGGGTATAGGTGCTTGACCTGAGTCCAAACCCCAGGACCCACATGGAGGATGGAGAGACCTGACTTCTGCAAGCTGTCCTCTGATCTCCATACACGTGTTTCTAGATAATGCACATACACAAATAAATAAGTGTCATTTTTAAACATTTAAAATGTTATTTTGAGACAAGGTCTCACTGTGTTGCCCAGGCTGACCACAAATTCTTGAACCCATTGCTCCAGCCCACACAGTAACTGGTGTGTGCCACCAGATCCACCTTGCCCCTGTCTATGTCCCACTGGAGTAGGCGGGGCAGGTTAGATAGCGCCCAAGAGTGTAAGTATCTTAGTTAGGGTCTTTAGTGTGAAGAGACACCTAGACCAAGGCAACTCTTATCAATGAAACAATTTAATTGGGGTGGCTCACTTAGAGTTCAGAGGTTCAGTCCATTATCATCATGGGGGGGGGGGGATCATGGCAGCGTGTAGACTGACCTGGTGCTAGAGAAAAGCTGAGAATTCTCCATCTTGCAGGCAACAGGAGGCCGACTGAGACACTGGGTGGTATCCTAAGCATTGGAAACCTCAAAGCCCTCCCCCACAGTGACACGCTTCCTCCAGCAAGGCCATGACCCACTCCAACAAAGCCACACCTCCTAATAGTGCCACTCCCTGTGAGCTTATGGGGGGCAGTTGCATTCCAACCACCACAATAAATGACCTGTTGCAGTGGCCCCCTAAAATGTCCCAGTGCCCAGCTGTGAATGGGCAGTCCCGTGTGGCAAGGGGGCGGGGCTTTAAGGCTTTAAGATGAGATTGCCCAGGGGGATTCGCAGGTAAGTCACATGCATTAGGGTCTTAAAAAACTTAATGGATTAGCGAGGCCAGTCTAGTCTAAAGGTGAGTCTATATGAGGGAGAAGGAGGCAGAAGTATGACAGGCTGAGAGGTGCTCCCACTGTTACTGAACTGACGGTGGAGGAGGGTGCCATAACTGTGCTGGTGTCCCCTGGAAGCTGGCCAAGGCAAGAAAACACACTGTTCCCTCAAGGTTTAGGGATGCTGAACATACCCAGATGTGAGTATGCTGGACCCACACTGAAGGTGATAAATTTATGTTGTATCAAGCTGCTAAACTTGGGACTGTTTGTTACAGCAACTATGAGAAACTAATGCACCTGCCTAAGGCCACAGGTAGAGAGGGAACCGGAGCCCCTGCAGGGCATTGTTAACCAGGCTCAGAACATTTTTTGCTAAAATAAGGGAATGCCATTTATTTGAAAAATCACACCAACGGGAGCTAAGGTTGAGGCTGGACAGTCACTGTTGCTTTCTTAGCCTTAGCTTCTTGTGACCTAACAGCCTCTGGCATACCTGTGAGTCTCCTATAAAATGAGATCAATAACACCTACCCTTCTCCCCTGTGTTGTGTGACAAAACTTTTCCTGGAGAAATTCTACACACACACACACCCCACACACACCTACACACCCCAGATAGGGATTCCCATAACAGACTAAAGTACAGATACCATCAAAGTCCAATTTGGTGAATAGTGAACCAATGAGTTTTATTAGGGTTACTAGTAGGAACTGACGCAAAAACAGCTGCACCACCAAGCCCACCCTCACAGACCTGGGAACCTGGTCACACTGCACAGCCTGCAGGCAGCTCAGGAGGATGTAAAGTGTCCTTTCCAGGTGCCTCAGTTGGTCTAAACCTCTTCCAGGCAGCCCAGTGGGTTTCTGCTTCTTCCAGGCAGCTGGTCTGGTCTGAGGGCCTTTGCAGCTCAGCTTCTTTCCATCTGAGGGGGACTTTCCTCTTTCATTGCCTACTCTGGCATGGAGGAGCCTAGTGAATCTAGTCGGTTTCAGGGACTTCCTGATGTTCTTGTCTACCTTCCTGTTTAAGGAGTTTCCCTGTGGGCGGAATGTTTCAGTCCCCGAGGAAACTGATACATGACACCCTCATTGATACTGTGTATCTGACTGCCTGTACCATGTGATGGTTTGTGGTGGGTAGGGCTGTTGCTACAGGAGAAGCCAAAAGAGACGGGAGTGGGTGTGTACGTGGTGGTGAACTCCAGCAAGCTCTCAGGGGATATCTGCCCGCTTCCACCAGTTCTGGGTGAGGGACTTGGAACACAGCTTCCAATCAAGCATTCTCTCTTTTTTTATGTGTGGAAAAAGTTGAGAACAAGGTCTCTTGATGGTTTCTTGTAAAGGCTGCCCCATAAAGAACCGTTGGCAATCTTCTTTGGTGGGTAGATGTTTGTCCTTAAGATTTATGCATTTTTCGCTCAAAGTCAGCCCTTGTCACCTTTAGTGAAAGGCCAGGCAGCTTACAATAAAGGCTGAGAATACAGAGAAGCCACTAAAACTAAGAGCCACAGCAAGGAGCAGGCCCTTCAGGAGGGTCCCTAAGGAGGCAGAGTCCAATTCTGAAAAGCAACAATCGAGCAGCCCTGTCATTGTGAACTGTGTGCAGGCTGGGGCGTGACTCAGTTGAGGGGGGCTTGCTTAGCACGCAGGAGGCCCGGCAGTAGTTTGCCAGTGCCGTGGAAATCCCGTGTGGTAGCACAGGCTTCTCATTCTGGCACACTGGAAGTGAAAACCGGAAGATCAGGAGTTCAGGATCCTCCTCAGCCACACAGTGAGTGTGAGAGGCTTGCTTGAAGAGAAAGAGCGCTGAATAAGGCTTGAGTGTGATGTGGGCCACGTGCAGTCGTATAAACCTGTCTGTTGTATTCCTAGATCAACCCTCTGAGGAAGGAAGATGAGGGAGTCTACCACTGTCACGCGACCAACGCTATTGGCAAGGCCCAGTCCCACGGCACCGTGACAGTCCTCGATCTGAGCAGATACAAAAGCCTCCACTCCCCAGTTCCAGCTGACTTCCTGTGAGGAACACGGTACACAGCCCTCGTCATTTCTGTCCCCCTCCCAGTAGCGTGAGAGACACGACTTCTGCTCCACTGATTTCTCAATGAAAACCAGGTTGGAGCAGCAGCCTCAGGGCGGGTCATGTCCATCCTTATGGCAGACAGATGAGCAGGAGCCCAATACGTAGTCACATTCGAGTTTCTGCAAGTTTCTGCTCCAAAGTGATGTCATATTTGCGGATGGATCATTGGCCATGGCAAGTCACACAGCTGTGCTAGGTGGATGAAGTGGGACACACACACACGCACACTCACACACTCACACCCTCACACATACCACTCACCAGAGCCAAAGGGCAGCCTGATCCTCTCACAGGTAGGGGAGTTGCCGTCATGAACAGATAACACTGTCAAGACTGACCAGCAAGGTCTAATACTGTGGAGACCACAAGAGGGCATTGGGTCCCCTGGAACTGAAGTTACAGATGGTTGTAAACTGCCATGTGGGTGCTGGGACCTGAATCCAGGTCTCCTGCAAGAGCAGCCAGTGCTCATAGCTGCCGAGCCATCTGGGATGGACATTCTTAAAAGCAGAATTTTGCTGTGGTTCTAACCCCTTGCTCCTTTTGACTGCTTTCGCTGGACTGCCTTCTGTCAGTTCTGTGTGTGTGTGGAGAAATGACAACCATCACCACCATCCAGGGAGTGCCATGGGCATGAGACAAGAGAGTCTTTACACTGGGGAGATTGAAGGAAAGATGTCACTGAGGAAGTGGCGCTGGGGTTGAAGGACAGGTATCTGTAGGCCATCGGAGGTCCTAGGAACAGAGAGAGAAAAACATGGAAGTGTAAAACCACAGGACTTCTGCAAGGCTGGGAAATCAGATCTTACAAGTTGTATTCCTAGTACTCAAGTTTCCTATTACGCATGATACACACGAGAATATGTGTTGTTTTATATTGTTTATAATAACGTGGTTTATATCCACGTCTTGAGCTCCCTCTACAGCAGGCAGGCACTATTGGCCAGCTCTTGGTTGTATGTCTCCTGGAATGAAATGCTTCCAACCACTGTACAGCCATCTCGGGGCTTCTTGGGGCTTGAGACGTCCTTGCCTATAAGCTGGAGTCTGCTTCCCTGGAATATCTGACCTTTGGTCTTAAATATTCTCACTGCTCCAGGACTGCCCCGCACCCCATCAGCCCTGGCTGCATCCCTCAGTGAGAAGGGCTTTGGACCCCAGCATCATGTCCTCCACCTTGCATGTAACACACAGATCATTACAACAGAGCAAGCTTCTGCCTCTAATGTGCCCCCCCCCCTTCCTTCCCAGGCTTCTGGAGACACCGGTCACAGCACCATGGCGACATCAAGGAGTGGATCATTTTGCTCTGTGAAAATCCGGGGAGTTGCCTGTCGATGACTGCTTTTTGTATGTTTTTTAAGAAAGGAACGCACACTAGATTCTTACGCAGATGTAGTTTTTAGCAGGGCAGACCCTGGGGAGACACATGCATGTAGCATTTTTATATTTTGGGGATGAATTGTTCTAGAACAGTTCTTTTTTTTAACTCTTTCTGCCCCAGGATGGGTCGCACACTGTGTGTTTGTAATTCTAAAGGGCTCAAAACAACGCATGTGCTGACTGACTCGTGACTTGGTATCTGTGACTGTCATGACGGGAAGGGGGTCCCTTGCCCTGTCCGAGGTGACTGGGGTGGGTGTTTTCCCTCCTCTGGGTTGTGGTTTCCACCTGTGACCACAGCTTTGGCCTGAATGCTCCTTGAGCTCCCTGTGGCCCCACCCTCCTCGAGTGATACGGCCCTAGGGAGTAGGGCCCGGGCATTCTTTTCAAAGTCGTCACTTCATTCCTGGCATGGACCACTCGGGTGGCTCTTCCCCTTCTCCCCGTTGTGAGGATTTAGCTGTAGGTAGGACCCTCTGCCAGACTCAGGAGCTGCTTGAGCAAGCTGCACACTTGTTAAACCAGTATTCTCCCAGCAGACCGACAGCAGACACCTGACTTCTGCTTGGCACACTGAAGAAAGGAAACTGGGTGGCATCTGTAGGTGGCGGGGTCACACTGTAGTACGGTGCATTTGTCCTCACCCAGGCAGAAGCCCCACTTAAGGAGGAAAAGAAAAAAGAATATCTGCTCTCTGGTCTGAAGGTTCTAGGGGACTTTTGTCTCTCTCTCTCTCTCTCTCTCCTCTCTCTCTCTCTCTTTTTAAATTTATTTTTCTGATACCGGGTTTCACTGTAGCCCTGGCTGTCCTGGAACTCACTCTGTAGACCAGGCTGGCCTTGAACTCATAGAAATACCCTTGCCTCTGCCTCCCAAGTGTGGAATTAAAGACATGCACCCAGCTGCCTGCGGATTCTTACCACCAGGGTTGGGGGTCCCTCGCTGTAGACAGGCCTGACTGTTCACAAGATGCTGTCCCATGCATGGGCCCAGCCATGGCAGAAAGAGAGAGGATTTCTGCCTCCCTGCAGCAGCCAGGCTCAGAGAGCAGGTGCTTTGCCAGAGGTAACAGCGTTTGAGTGGGGGCGGAACTCAACCACTTCCCTGGCTCAGTTTTCCTAGAATGACCTTGAAGCAGGGAGGGGAGGAGAGACACAGCCTCACCTGCTGGGCCCAAAGCTCTTACCCGCTTGGCTTCCGGCTTCCACTTGCTCACACTCTTGCTGCTCAAGGCTAGCCCTAAGTTTTGGAGTTCTTTTTAGAACTGGGTTGCTGCCTTCAATCTTAGCAGATCCGAGTTTGAAATGCTGAGATGTTGTCACCTTCGTGTCCCACCCACACAGAGGGGGACAGGTTGGAGACTCTGAAAACAGGGTGTCCATGTGCATATTCACTGTGTGACCCTGGGCAAGTCCAGGTCCTTTGTGGGCTCTGTGTCCTCAAGTGGGTATGTGGGAACCCTTGTTCTGTGTAAAGTCCAAAAGGACGCTGGAAGTTGCTGTCAGGGGATGGGACAGCCAGGGGATCTGCTTGTGTCTACACCCGAGTTGGCCCCTCCTGCCCCTCTCAGCTCCCCCATTACGGTTATCTCCACGCCTGAGAGCCTGCTCTTAATGTCCTGTGAACTGAGTGGGTTGGAGATAACATCAGAAGGATGTCACCATGGAGACACCTGTGGCGTGCAGAGAAGGTGATACATACTTTGCTTACATGATGGTGGTAATTGCAGCATGGAGAACATGCAGAATCACTTGGTCACTCAGATCTGCATTGGATGCAGCTCCTGGTGAGGGTCAGGAGCTTTTGGGGCTGGGTTATGTTATGTGTCACACCTGAGTGACATAGATAAACAGTGTATGCTACGCTGTCTGAAACATTCACCAATGTCTAAAAAAGTGAATCAACATGGTAGTTCAGCCCAGTGGCTTTTCACTCTGGGAGGTCCAAGGGCCTTTCAGAGAGCCAGAACACATGCCATGACCGTCACCATTGGAAGCACCGTTACCTACACACCCAACCCTGTTTGTATAGATGTCGTGATGCTGCAACCTGCGCACCCTGGCAATAAATGTCTGTAGGGGTGGACTCATTGCTCTCTCCACCCTGGAAATGCTGCTTCAGATGCTGGATCTAGACCCACCCATCCATCTTTCTCATCCTGCATGCATCTTGCCCCAGTTTTTAAAAATATTTATTTATTTGTTTATTATGTATACAATATTCTGTCTGTGTGTATGCCTGAAGGCCAGAAGAGGGCACCAGACCCCATTACAGATGGTTGTGAGCCACCATGTGGTTGCTGGGAATTGAACTCAGGACCTTTGGAAGAGCAGGCAATGCTCTTAACCTCTGAGCCATCTCTCCAGCCCTTGCTTCAGTTTTTCTGCTTACATTAGCTACTTCCACCTGACCCTCCTCACCTCTCCCACCTGGGCTATGGCTGCCCCTTGCCTGGTACCCATTTTCAGTTTTTACTTTGTTTTGCTGTTGTTTAGAGACAAGGTCTCACTGTGTAGTTTAGGTTGGCCTGGAACTCCATATGTAGACCAAGCTGACCTCAACTGACATAGATCTGCTGCTTTTGCCTCCTAAGTGCGGAGATTAAGGTGTGTGCCCTATCAAGCCTAGCCCCCTACTTGCAGAGCTTGTTTGTTTGTTTGTTTAGCTTTATTTTGAGTGTGTATGAGTATTTTGCTTGCATATGAATCTGAGCACTGCCTGCATGCAGTACTCACAGTGACCAGAAGAGGGCATCAGTTCCTCTGAAATTGGAGTTACATGGTTGTGAGCCACCATGTGGATGCTTGAAAATAAACCCAGGTCCTTTGTAAGAGCAAATGTTTTCAACTGCTGCTCCACCTCTCCAGCCCCCTACTTGTAGTTTTTAACCAGCCTTAACCATCCACTGTTAACCAGTTAACCACCCACTATTCCCAGCCTGGTCCTTCTGAGTCTCCTGGACTTGCATCTTCATGCATTTTAGTGCATGGAATTTAGTGATTTCTTCACTCACCACTCTGAACTCTCACCTCTCATAGACAGAGTGAGGAAGGGGGTCAGGTCCCAGACGGTGCAAGTCGCTAGGTGGGAGAATAGAGTGTGTGCCAGGTGCCAGCCAGCTGTGGCGTGAGAGCTTTCTGAAGGCTGAGCCATCTGCTGCCCCAAAGAAATTTAGAAAGAGATAACATCCCCATAATTTTAATGATAGCATTTTAAACTTGTTTATTATTATTGATGCTTAGTATGCCTAATCTCTAACTTCAGTTTATCATAGACATGTATAGGGAGATTAATGTGTTTGCTGTACAAGTGTGTGGTCCTGCGTTTGATCCATCCACAGAAACCACATGAAAAAGCTGGCCGTGGTGGTGCAAGCCCTGCAGTCCCAGAACTGGGGAGGTAGAGATGGATCGATCCCTGGGGCTCGCTGTCTAGACAGCTAAGACTAAGCGGCAGGCTGCAAGCCAACAGAAACCCTGTCTAAAAGAATAAGGTCAGTTCTGAAGAATAACATCTGAGGTTACACTTCCACATTCATGTGTGCACCTGCACGCTGGGTACCTGTATACTTGCATGCTTATTCACCTGCACAAACATGTACACACATACCGATGAAACACAGTCTGAAAAGGTGTCCTTGTGGAGTCTTGGGGTGTATTCTCCACAGAGAAGGGGGCACCGCAGTGATTCTATAGCCTATATTCAACTCCAAAGGTGTTCACTTTTTATCCTAAACCACCAAAGGGCTGGGCTTTAGTACAATGGATAGTTTTGCAACAGGCTTTGCAATGAAATTAATTCCTATCTTTAGAAAATTCCACCCTCCTGTCCCCCAAGATTGAGGATGTAGGCCAGACAATCAGAGTCACCCAGGAGGGAATGGTCTCTTCTGATAACTATTCTTATTCTCAGCCTTCACGAGGGCCTCATGAACGTTAAATCAGAGAGTGGGTATTATGTGATATTTTAATTAATTAAGGAAAACCACATTGCTCTGGTGTCTGTGAATGAATTCAGGATACAGAGCCCAGCACCATGCTTGCCACAGTAGCTCAGTGAGGCCCGCTCCTCTCCCCTGGAGTGTGGATACCATTATAGATCAGGGCTGTCTGTGAGCTCTGACATGGTGTCCTCCTGGCCGAGAAGTGCCTGGTTCCCACAGGCAGAGAATTCTCACAGTGCCGATCACTGACTGACTGTAAAGTTCCTGGGAGGATGTGTCAGGCTAGACACAGCACCATTTGACAGAAGAGAGACATATGTGCATGTTCACTGGGGTCCTGGAACCAGTGCCCTGAGGTTAGCAAGGGATGGCTGTATCGTGTATCTTTTGCTTCTGGCCTCCCTCCTCCATCAGTTAGGAAGCCGACTATTTCTGTCCAGTTTCCTGCTGCAGCCCCAGCACCTAGCACAATTCCCAGCCCACAGAGAAACACTTAATCAAAGGTGCTGAGTGAGGGAATAGACAAACGGATCCCCTTTCCCTTGCTCCTAAGCATGCTCCTCCAGCAAGGGTCCCTGTTTGCCTCCCCTCCCTCCCACCCCCACAGGTTCTCATATACTCTAGCACAGCCTCAAACTTGATATGTGTCCCAAGGTGACTGTGAACTTATGGTGCTCCTGATTCCACTTCTAGAGTGCTTGGATTACAAGTGTGTGCCACCATGCCTGATTATATGTAGTACTGGGGACCAAACCCAGTGTTTTGTGCGTGCTAAACAAATACTCTATTAGCTGAGCTATTGCCCCCAGCTCAAGGCTCCCTTCTGCAGCAGCTTGCAATCCCTGCCCACACACACTGGTTACCCCCAAACAAAAGGGGTACCTTTGACTCCCCTCTGGCACCATCTGTCATCTTACTCTGCTTCCTGGCTGGTCGGGATCCCCCTCGTACTACACCCTGCTCAAGCTAGTGCTATGGTGGCAAAGCAACAGTGTCCTACACAATCTGTCCCAGGTCCATTGTCCACATAGAAATAGAGTGACCTTTAGACGCTGAATCTGAGCGGGTCCCTTTAAGACTGCCAGGGCTTCCTTAGGGTACAGGCAGAGTGCTCCAACCCCTGACTACCTCCCCCCCCCCACAGCCTCCCTATTCCTGTGGGAACAGTTTACCTGTCTCTGTGCTACTTACAAGCTCTGGCCTTCCCTCTCCCAGAAAGGCCTGCCCCTTCCCAGTGGTCTTGCCACCTCCCTCACCAGGATCTTGTGTCCCGCTCATGCTGGGCCTTGCCCTGGGCTGAGCCAAGTGCAGCAGGCGGAGGAGAGAATTCCCAGATCGTGTTAACCCTGCCTAGCTGCTTAGCAAATGACTGGGGGCATCCCTGGGAGGGGTGCTCTGTATGAGCCGGTGGCTTGTGGGTACATCTTCCAAATGGGACCCCTGAGAGTAGAGGGGAGCTCTGAATGAGCCGGTGCTTTGTGGTGTATCTCCCTGAGAACACGTGAGGAAAGACGGGAGCTCCGGATGAGCCAGTGCCTTGTGGGTACATCTTCCAGGGGACCCCTGAGGGCAGATGGGAGCTCCGGATGAGGATGAGTCGGGGCTGACATCTTGGCCCCTGCACTCCCACTTGCCCCTGTCCTTGTCACCCTGTCACCCCGGTCTGTAATTGTCTTACTTGCAGACTGAGCTCCTAGCAGGCTGTCTTGTCTGATTCACTTTCTCCTAATGGTCCCAAAAGGACTTTTTTTTTCCTCTTTCAGATCAATGAAGGATCTGAGCAAACTAGTGGAAGTGGGGACCACCAGAGGTCAGCCTTGTACCCACAATGATGCCAGCCCACATGGAAGTGCCTTGGAGGCACGGGGCTGATCAGGGCAGGTGTGACTGGGGCACTGTTGTGGATTGGGGCACACAGACTTGAGCTTAGAGATTTGATTACATGGGCTCCTAAGTACACCCCTTTGTCTGGCCCCTAGAGCATGCTCATGGAAAACTGACCCAAATAAGTGCTTTACTAAGCCTCCCAGAGCCAGAGTGATGGCTCCAAGGTTAGGAGCACTGGCTGCTCTTCCAGAGAACCTGAGTTCAGTTTTAGCACCCATGTCAGGCAACTTACAAGCCTCCTGTAACTCCTACTCCAGGGCGGTATTTGATGCCCTTTTCTGGCTTCTGCAGGCACCCATATACACAGGTACACACAAAGACAGGCACCCATACACACAGGTACACACACAGACAGGCACCCATACACACCGATACCCATACATACAGGTACCCATACACATAGGTACACACACAGACAGGCACCATGCACACAGGTACACATACAGGTACCCATGCACACAGGTAAACACACATACAGGCACCTATGCACACAGGTACATATGCAGACAGGCACCATACACACAGATACACACATGGATGGCTTTCAGAGTACAGTATCTACCACAGCTCAACCTTGCAGGCCATGTGCCGGACTGAAGGTTGAGGCCCAAGGAAACCCCCATTCCTTGTCTGAGAGGACACAGTCTATCCTGTAGGGGACACATGACAGTGGGGTGTGAAGTGGCCCGTCACACTGTGTCCACATTTCTTCAGGAAGTAACAGTGCTCACCCTGCTCTCGTCTTTCTCTCTTTTCCATTTAATCTGAGTGCCCAGGCCCTGGGATGATAGCAGCTACGTTTAGGGTGAGGTTTTTCCAGTTTAACTTCTCTGGGAGGCTGAGCTGAGTCACCCAAGCATACAGTGAAGATAAACCATCATAATCAGAAACCCTCACTACAGTGTGATGGGGTTACAGTATGGCTGTAGAGGTGGCTGCAAGGGCCTCTTAAGAGAAATTCATGGAGGATACTGAGCCAAGGCCATGTCAGCCTTAGAGAAGTCTCAAAGGAAGGAAGACGTGAGACCCAAACAAACCTACAACCCTCAAGAAGCCATTTCAGACCAAACCCAAGTCCTGGCCAACATTACAACAGCGAAGGAAGGTGAAGATACAGTTCCGCTGGTAGAGACTGTTTAGCATGCACAAAGCCCTGAATTTGATCCACAGCACCTTGTAACACTGATTGTGGTGGTACACACCTGTAATCCCAGCACTCAGGAGGTAGAAGAAGGAATACCAAAAGTTCAAGGGCATCCTTGTCTACACAGCAAGCTCTGAAAATCAAAATCATTTTGATGGAGAGTTGTTGAAAAGATAAGCGGGGCATAGCATTCACAGAGTGTAGCATTCCCTGAGTGCTCACAGACAGTAGCGTTCACCAGTAGGACATTCACAGACTGCACTGTTCACAGAGTGTAGCATTCACAGGGATCTTATTCACAGCGTGTAGCATTCACAGAGTGTAGCATTCACAGATATGGCATTCACAACAAGCAGACTTAGAAACTTGGAAGAATTTGTAAGCACCATAAACTACAACAGAAGACAAGGAGACAGCTGGGCTTCAGCTTCTGACCTTCCATGACTACCACCATGGGGTGTGTGTGTGTGTGTGTGTGTGTGTGTGTGTGTAAGCATCAAGGGTGGCAATAGAGAACCGAGGAACGAAGCTAGCAAACTCTCCTCGTGATGTGACTCAGTAGAGGTTAGGAGGATGACAGTAAAAACCCCTGGCCAGAACTATAGCAATATTCCCATAGGTCTTTGTACATCAGTCAAGAGAAATCAAAGAGAAGCCCAGGAACTTAGGGTAGGAGGGGCCAGATGACTACCTGGGTCCTCTAAGGCCAAGAGATAGTAAAATGTTCAGGAAAGAGAAAAAAAATCAAGACAGATTTGCAAATAGAACATTGAGCTTATTTTAATTTTAAAATGAAGTTAATTCCCATACCCTAATTAAGAGTATAATTTGGTAGTAAATCAGTACAATTGCAACGTTGTACAACCATGTCCACTGCCCAATTCCACAACATTTTCAAGACCTCCTCAAGAGGAGCCCAGTATCCACAAACAGCCATTCCCCTCTTCCCCTCCCCCCAGTCCCTGCTGGCCACTGCTCCGCTTTCTACTACGGATACAGGTGGCCAATCTCAGGAGTTCTTCTCTGGAACCTTGATGGTGACAGTCTTCACCTCCGTGTAGGCTCTAAGCCCGTCTTCCCCCAGCTCCCTCCCGTTGCCGGATTCCTTAAAGCCTCCAAACGGCGTGTGGCAGGTGACGATATTGTAGGTGTTCACCCACACTGTCCCAGCTTGCAGGGCCTGAGTGAAGTATAAGGCCTTGTCCAGGTCTCTGGTGAACACAGCCGCAGCCAGGCCATACCTGGTGTTGTTGGCCCTCTGAATCACTTCCTCGATCTTCTTGAACTTGAACAGAGGCTGCACAGGCCCAAAGATCTCCTCTCTGGCAATCTTCATGTCGTCCCGCACATCGCCAAAGACTGTGGGCTTGATGAAGAAGCCACGATCCCCAAAACGCTCCCCACCGCAGAGAAGTTTTGCCCCCTCCTTCTGACCAGCCCGGATGTAGCCCAGGATTCGTTCAAACTGTTCCTTGTCCACCTGAGGCCCCTGTTGGGTGTCCAGTTCAAAGGGGTTCCCCACTTTCCTCTGCTTAGCCTTCTCCACAGTCCTCTCGAGAAACTCGTGATAGATGGATTCTTCCACAAATGTCCGGGAACCCGCACAGCAGCACTGGCCCATGTTAAAGAAGAGGGCTTCGTGACACTGGTCCACTGCATGAGCCATATCAGCGTCTGCCAGCACGATGCTGGGGCTCTTCCCACCCAGCTCCAAGGTGACTCTCTTGAGGTTGGAGTCCCCAGCAGCTTTCTGGATCAGGTGGCCCACCTCGGTGGAGCCCGTGAAGGCAACTTTATCCACATCCATATGCTGGGCTATAGCTGCCCCTGCGGTGGGGCCATAGCCAGTGATGATGTTCACCACTCCCGGGGGAAACCCTGCCTCCTTGATGAGGGAGGCCAAATACAGGGCAGAAAGTGGGGTTTGCTCTGCCACCTTCATGACCACAGTGTTGCCTGTAGCGAGTGCCGGGGCCAGCTTCCAGCCTTGCATGACCAGTGGGAAATTCCATGGGATTATCTGGCCGCAGACACCCACTGGCTCATGCCGGGTGAAGCAGAAATGCTCGCCATCCATAGGGATGGTTTTACCATGCCACTTGTCAGCCCAGCCAGCAAAGTAACGGTACACCTTGATGACCTCATCCAGGTCCAAGACATAAGACTCCTGGAAAGGTTTCCCATTATCCAAGGTCTCCAAAGAGGCCAAGTACACCCGATCCCGTTCCACGAGATCAGCCAAACGGTTCAGCAGCCGGCCCCGCTCGGAGGCATCCATTCTGCGCCACGGGGACCCCAAGCGGAAGGCCTCTCGGGCTGCTTTCACGGCCAGGTCCACATCTGCCCGGTCACCTTCGGCCACGTGCCCGATGACCTCGCCTGTGGTGGGGTTCACTGTGGGGAAGGTCTTTTTGCTGACTGCCTCACGCCATTCATTGTTGATGAACAGCTGGTTGTAGCGAATCTCTGGGTTTGGGATTGGGTTCGGGAGAGCAGCTACGGTAGAGTACGAGGGGTGCCGACCCTGGAGGCAGAGCAGCCGGTGCGCCAAGAATCGGACGCTCAGCATGTTGAGGACCTTGGAGCAGATAGAAAAAAACCAAGGCGAACTGGTGAGAGTGGGCGGGGCTACCTGAAGGCCCACTGATATCAAGGAGTGTATCCTCCTGAAACATAGGCCGTGGGGTACAAAGGCCCGAAGAACTCTCTGGTCCACCCATCATGTCCCCCTCAAGTCTGCCCCCCTTTCGCACCTCTTCTGGGTCTCTTATGAAATACCACCTGCTCTGCAAGGCCCTTCTTGGTCCTCCCATTGCAGTGTCTGGGACCTATAGCCCACACTTCTGAACAGAAATTTAAGGTGCTCATGAGACACACCAGATACGATGTTGTCTGTGGACCGATAGAATGGTTGAGGAAAAGCCCACACTATGGAAATGGGGCAGAAAGGCCAATGTGTGACAAAAGCCGTGGTCCTCTGTGAACCTTTAATGTTTGAGCAGCTAAATCTCTTGTCTCCAGCCCTGCTCCCTCCCCTTTGGGAACAGTTTTTCCCTTAATTACATGTCTCCGGGTCTCTATTCCTGCTACAACTGTGCACTGCTGCTTAGTTCCCTGTCTGGGGACACAAGAATCAGGAGCTGGGACAGGGGATATAGCCCAGCTGATGAGAGTGCTTCCCTAGCTAGGACAAAGGCCTGGGTTCAGTCACTGATGGGGCACCTCCCTGTAACCCCAGCCCTTAGGAGGTGGAGGCAGGAGGATCAGGAGCAAGGCCGGCATTGGCTATGTAGTGAGTTTGAAGACAATCTCTGACACGTGACAGACTATCTGAACAAACAGACCAACCTTGGAACACCTCTGAACCCCCAGATTATTGTTTCTCAACCTCACACGCCACAGACTGTTTTTACAAGTGTGTGTCAGTGATGGTGAGCTCCTCCTCCAGGCCAGGGACTTTTGCAGCTGTCATTCTATCCACTGCTAGTGTTACAGACCCAGAGGGAAGGGACAGCGAGGAACCAGAATTTCTCCAGGAAGCCCCCTTCTGAGGTTGACAATACCCCAGAGCCTCAGAAGATATGCAAAGTTCCAATTCATATCACGGCTGAAATCTGCACACACAGACCTCTTAGTCTGTTTCACCCTTTCCAAACGTTCTTAGTGCGGCTACAGGCAAGGTCAAGAGAAACTAAGAACTTCTCTTTTCCCTAGTTCTGACCAAAACCATAAACAAACCATTCTCAAGCTGGACGCTACAACTCACAACTATAACCAAACAAGCACTTGGGAGTTCAAGGTCAGCCTGGTCTACAGAATGAGATCCCTCCGGCCCAATGAAACAAACAACACAAACCTGTATCCCTTTACTAATTCCGCTCTCCCATCAGATTCAGGCCTCTGGTTCTATTGGTTCTGGTGCCTAGAACTATGCCTGCGACACAGTAGCTACTCTATAGACACACTGACTGACAAGCTAAGGGAATGTGGAGATTTCCATAAAGGACACCAATGAACTGGCCTGGGACCTGAGCAAGAACCCTAGAGATTTGGAATCTCAGTTCCCTCACCAGTAGAGTCCCCTGGGGTTGGTGTTGAATGGGGTCTTGCCTGGATAAAACCTGACACACCTTGCCTGGGCAGTCGTCAGAATACTCAAAGCCTCGGGAACCAGCCTGGCACAGACCGGAGCACAGTGGGAGGGGGCTTACCCTTCTGGGGTACAAGTCAAGCAGCAGCTGAGATGGGTCTGTTAGTGCCAACTCCACTTCTGAAAACATCAGACTTTACTAAAACGACTGTGGTAAAATGTAAACAGTACCTAAACTCTGTAAGCAACTGCCAAGCAGCGTTTCCGGTTCCTGCTTAGCTATACAGCTCATCTCTGGCCAGGACAGAATAGCGGTGCCTTTTCTGGCTCACCCGAGTCTTGCTCCACCCAACAGCAAAACATAATTGCACCAGCCTGACCCCTGACCTCCAGCCCTTTCCACCCTCTCTCCATGTGCAGGGAGAGGATAGAAAAATCCATTCAGGAAAACAAGGCTGCAGCTAGGTCCCTACCCACACAGAAATTAATGTCTACCAGGAAAGCCCTCCCTGGGGACCTGGTGTGTGTGTGTGTGTGTGTGTGTGTGTGTAGCAAACTGCTCTTAGGTCACACCAAACCTCTCCATCGCTTTCATTTTGCACAGAGGAAAGTCGCTAGTCACAGGTTATCCCGCTTTTCGGTTTGCGGTCTTCTCACCGGAACTTCACCAGCCTCCCTGAAGCCCTCAGGTGATAACAGATGTTGATAGTCACTGGAGGGGACTACAGAGATTCAGGGACCTCTCTAAGAAAGTACTACAGAAGCCTCTCATCCTTAAATTCCCAAAGGCCTAGCTTTGTTTTTCCTCCCTAATACCGGATACTCGGTACCCACTGAGCGAAAAGCCTGCAGTAGGTAACCCAGGAACACCCACCTGAGCGAAAGGTGCTCAGGGCCCAGCTTCTCACTATGGCCAGTGGCTCTTGCGGCAGCGGGCCGGGTGGGCGAGGGTGAAGGAACAGAACCAAGATGAGGTTTGAGAGGACTGTCCACCCCCCCACCCCCCCGTCGCCCGAGACAGATAGAAAAAGGGAGGGAAAGAAGCGTGGAAAGGGCCCTGCAAAAACACCCGGGGGAGACCTGCCTTTCGGGGACCGAAGGGGTGCGGTGCCCCAGCGCGGAGGGAGGGCGGAGGTAGCTACCTGCAGCGGGCTCGAGCTCAGCGTCAGTCTCACTCAGGACCAAGTCCGGGTACGGTTTAGCTTTCTCGGATCGGTCCAGCTGCTGTGTGGAGTCGCCTCCCGGCATCCGCTGAGCAACCAATGAGGTTTCGCTTCCAGCTAAGCTCCGCCTGCTCCCGGGACCGCCCCCTACTGAGGAATCTTGGCCCGAGACCCAGATTCCCCTTTTCCAGCCATCCTTGGCCCAGTATCCTGCACCCTCCAGAGGTCTCTGATTGGTCTCCCCTGAAGTAGGAGGTTCGAGTCTGAGAGCCTAAGGACAAAGCCTTTGGCAATGAAAGAGGGACTCAAAGAGGGGCAGGGTTTTCCCAGGATTACAGCCAGGCTCCAACCTGGAGACCCTCCCTAAAAGTCAGTCATTGGCAGAGCTTGCTTATTTGATCAGCGTTTTTGAGCCTGTTAGACTAGAACGGTACTGAAAATTCCAGCTCTGAGAATCGCGAGCAGAGAAACACTCCAAACAAAAAACGGGCAATGTTGTTTTTTCTACACTGACCGTCAGTCTCTGCTTTTGAACTGAGGATGGACACTGGGCCAAGACTCTGAGGGGTTTGTAGGAATTGGACATTTTAAAATAACACACATTTTAAAAAAACTAACCTAAAATGCAATCAAGAAGACAGCGGAAGTGACCCCTGTCGTGAATATTTCGCTGCAGATGTGTGGATTCACGCGAGTCCGAGAAATGAACACTCAGAGACACATTGAGAATGAACTTAGCTGCTGTGTGCTGTGGCTGCAGAAGGCTCAGACTCAGTGATCTGAAGCCTTGCCTTCACCACCCGCCCCCAGCATCTTTATTTTTTTCTTATATTTACACTTTAGCTAGAAGATTTCCATATCTAAAAACAAACCGATAGAAGCTTTGGACAATACAACGCCAGGTGCAAATACCCGATTCAAGAGGTACCACGGTTTTCTGGGTTTCTCCTGAACCAAATTTTCCATGGGAAACTCTCAGTCAAGATTCACATGGGGCAACAAGAGGTATTTGTGACTCAAAGGAAGGCCTAGGGGCTGTGTGAAAACTCCAGAGCCAGGCCAGGTATAACCTAGCAGGGTTTCATGGCTACTGGTGATCCCTCTGGCACCCCCTCAGGGGACATTCTACCACAGACCCCCCAACAGGGAAAGGTTGGAGGCCATATGGTGTGAAGAGTCCTGGACTGTGTTAGACAGCTGGTTACAGATTAGCAGAGTTGAAGGTCATTGGGAATGGGGACACCACCCTCATAATCAATGTCTTATAGGATCAGACACGAAACTGCAGGATTTTATGATCGTCATAGGGGTGTGATCTTTATCACAACTTCCACACTGCCTGGGGTGGGGAAGTCATTAACAGATGACTATCTAAACAATTGTTACATGTTTATTGCCTAGCTTCAAGCTGTCTGGTAAAGAGCAAAGACATACCATTCTCCCCTCTTTTAACAGTGAATCCAAATGGACGGAATCACCTGGCCGGAGAACATGCCTCGGAAACAGCTGTCTGCTCTAGAGACTTGGGAAATAGTACAAAGTCTCCCCAGAGGAGGGTCCGCACAGTGTCTCTGACTGCTGTCTGCTCTTATCCTTGGGAGCATTCTGCTCCCCCCCCCCCCCCCCCCCGTGGTCCCTTTGGTCATTGCCTAATCTCTTACCGCTCAGTGATAAGCTTTATCTGCCCTCTACTCTACACTCAGGGTGTCTCTTCCAGCTCCTTTCGTGGAAGTCAAGAACCAGGGAGCCAAGGAGAGGCTGGTGCCGGGGATTGAAAGACCTGGGGTAGTCACCCTTTAGAACTCAAAGTATGCCCTCCAAGTGTCTGAAAAGCAAGACCAGACAGGGTCTGTGCAGTGCTAGAGGGCGAAGCCAGATCAGCGAAGGGACGTCCCAGGACACCAGCAGGAAAACAAGGCGAGTGTGGGGCTGGGCTGGCACGCAGCTCACCTACGTGTGAGGTTTGAGTGCAGCTCCAGGTGGTGAGAAGACACTGCCAGAAATGCCCCCAACACTATGAGGAATTTACCTCCTCAGGGGACTTAGGCTCAGTTAAAGCCAGACCCTTAACTGTACCCACAGGAGAGAGGAATGTCAATGTAGGTAAGGGTTAGTACATGCTTTGTATTTAAGTGGAGACGCTCAGAGACTCATGGAAAAAAGACCAAATGCAACCAAGAGTGGATATAGGTTTCTCAAGGAAGAGTCTTGTTGAGGTGTCTCTAAAATGGCCATAGATAGATGGGTGGGTGGATAGATAGATAGATAGATAGATAGATAGTAGAGAGACCTGACTCGGTGCTCTAAGTTACTGTGTTCAAAGGATGTAATTTACAGTAAGGCATAACGACAAAGAAAAGTTGAAAAATTAAGTGGGAATCTAGGGTCTGCTCTACATATTGGCCTTGACCTAAGGCATTTTCCTGTGTAAACGGATCTATAGATGGTAAGATGGTCTCACCAGAGGCATCGCTCGATTTAGAGATGAGAAGGGAACACTAACCCAGTTCAGTTCAAGGCCACGGACATTCCAGCCCTAAGGAAGCAGTCGTCTAGGTTGCTTTGGACATCCTGTTTGAGATGTCTCCAGGAAGATGAGCGCCACCTCTCTAGGCATCTTGGGTTCCATCAGTTGCGCTGAAGTTTCTTGACTCTCAGTCAGCAGAACACTAAACCTGGATCCCAGGGGCAGAGGCTTCTGCCCCATCTTTATATCCTTCCTCACACAACTAAACACAAAATCAGCTAAAGCAGAGCTGGGAAGGGCTGCCTTGAAAGGTGGGTGTTCTCACTGGAGGAGAATGAGGAATCCCAGACACCCCTATCTACCGACATCTGTTTGCCAGAAGCCTGCAGAAGGGAGCCTCCAACAAGAAAGAACTAGTGAGTGGCTCCGCCACTCAGCTGTGGGTGGGAGCTGCTGGAGGAGTGAAGCAGGTTATTATCTCATAGGCTTATCTTCAGATTCAAGGTCCCTAGATGGGAAAGAGCCAAGGATTTTTTTTTTAATTCCCCTCGCGTGTTTGATGATCCGTGTGTAGCCACGCTTAGGAAGCACAGGGCTAAGTGCTCTGTGTGGATTCTGGGAGGGCATCATTTTTCCAGAAAAAGTCGTCTGTGAATGGTCTATGTTTAAATCCCATCCAGCACATCCACCCCAAACACTTCATACGCAGGTGGGCATCAGAACTCACCAAAGTAGTTGGTTCGCTTGTAAAAGACTTAAACTTACACAATGAGAACTAAAGAAAGGTGAATGGCCTCAAGATCAAAATCAAAAATAAAACTCAACGAAGATCGCTAAATGTGTAAAAAAAAAAAAAAAGCGTAAAACCAGAATAACACTAAGTTTTCCGCAGCATTATGGACCACAAGAGGAGATAACCGTGCAAGGACATCAGGTGTGACAGACGTAACTGGGATTTTAAGACTCCTCATCAACAGTCAGCTACTAATTAACCAGGGTTTCAAGGCTGCACCACCTGCTTGGAGACGATGACCTTGAAACAGCTGAAGTTAAAATTTACAATTAGTTCTGCAGGAGACTGGCTATTTTCAGGGATTTGGGGATTTATTATTATTATTGATTTATAAAAAGCCTATAACAGATATTGGGCCTGGTGCCACTGACAGTGTTTGGCTGAAGGGATTGATGGGAAAAGGGTGAGCCAACATCAGCCCCAGGGGGTCAATGCACAAGAGAATGTGCCAAGGGGGTGTGTTTACACTGGGCTGATGCAGGGAGGCCAACAACTTCTACTCCCCAGCCTTTTAGAGCCTGTGGGACTAGGAAGTAACTGAAGATTCCAGCTCTGAGGCTCGTGGGCAGATCAGAATCCAACAAAGAAGGCACATGAGCTCCGGCGTTCATTCTATAGTGGCCCCATCATTCTTTGTATTGGAATGAGGATGAGCAACTGAGCCAACACTGAGGCCCCTGCAGAAAATGGACATTTTAAAATAAAGATGCTTTGTAAGCAGAGACTGTGCTTTCATTTCCCGGCCACCCAGACCAGAATAATCATCCAGAAATTATATTAATTAAAACACTGTTTGAACAATGTCTCAGGGGTATTCCTAGCTAGCTCTTACATCTTAAATTAACCCATTTCTATTAATTTGTGTAACACCATGAAGCTGTGGCCTACTGGTAAAGTTCCAACATCTGTCTCCTTTGGCAGTTACAAGGCATCTCTTTGACTTTGCCTACTCTCTCTCTCTATATATATATCTTCCAGCCTGGCTATATTCTGCCCTGCCATAGGCTAAAGGAACTTCTTTATTAACCAATAAACATATTCACAGCATACAGAGGGCAATCCCACATCATCTCCCCTTTTATATCTAAATTAAAAGGAAGGTTTTAACTTTGGCATAGTAAAATTACATATAGCAAAACAGTTATCAAGCAAGAATTAGAGCTACAATATTTCTTTGTGGAGCTGGAGAGATGGCTCAGAGGTTAAGAGCACTGACTGTTCTTCCGGAAGTCCTGAGTTCAATTCCCAGCAACCATATGATGGCTCACACCCATCTGAAATGAGATCGGGTACTCTCTTCTGGCAGTAATGCATGTAGAAACACTGTATACATAATAAATAAATAAATCTTAAAAAAATAATATTTCTTTGTGAATCTAAAGTTTTATATCCAATTTATCTTTTATCATAACTAAAGAAAAACATAGCTATCACTATCTGCCTTCAAGTCTATCAAAGACCCTAGAAGGACATAATATTACCTAAGTAAACAGGAAGTGCATTATAAGTAACTTCCAAAATTCTAGAACTAACAGAGATATCTCACTGCCTGGCCAGTCACCCAAGTTCTTCTGTAATGTTGGGGCATTCATCTTCAGCCTACAGACTAATAATATTTGGCAGACTTTTCAGTGAAGAAGAAAATTTGATGATCTATTCTGCCTTGCAAGGGAAAGGTTCATCAATTGCTTTCTTCTGTGCCCTGCAGAATGTCTGGTAGTTTCTTCTGTTAAGCTTGTTTCTAACTAACTCTTTTTTTAAAATAATTTATTTTTATTTTATGTGCATTGGTGTGGATGTATGCCTATATGAAGGTGTCAGATCTTGGAAT